GAAAGAGCGAAGTAAAGAAGTATATAAAGAACATTAGAGAGCAATACTGTATTCACATAAAAACAGACAACAGTAGTTTTCAATGCAACTGAAACATCCCTTTGTGAGCATAAAGGCCCAAACTATAACTTTTAAAAGTAAGTACTCAGACCTATTTCACTGTGAAATTATAACCTTCCAGATGTTAACAGAGGAAGGTAAAAATGTGCAAGGACACATCCACTTTCTCCCAGCTACTAAAAAATTTAAGTAGCAATGTAGGCCTGTCCTCAAATGATTAAAAACACAGAGTCATCCTTCCGTTCAGTTGAAAAAGATAAAAAACAAACCAAACAAAACCAGTATGGAAAATAAGCCTGGAGTTATCCATCATAAAATAAAGTCCACAAAGCTTAGACCAGGGGAGGGAAAGAATATAACATACAACTCCTTACATCATCCTCTTGCAAAGAAGGCAAATTAAGAGACCTTCACAACGACTCCTTTTCTCGCTCACTCCTCAGGCCCCTAGGTTCTGCGGAATCCTCTTTCCTTGCTCACACACCAAAATGAAAGCCTCTCCACATTGATCAGACATCGCTGTACTATAATCTAATCTACAGAAAAATCACAGACTATAATCCACCCCTCTAAACCTTAAACTCTAGATGCAGGGACAGCAAGGACCCCAAAGAACGTGTGATGAAAATTCCCATTGCTTTTCCAGCAATAGCACCCACTGAACAGAGCATCTTAGTAATGACTCTCTGAAAGAGACTTACCTCTTCTATTCACTAGCATGCTTAGGGTCTGCTGATCAAAAAGGTTTCATGCATATTTTTAATCTCTCGTTTTAAATAATTCAAGAGATGAGTTCATTAGTTCAGAAGTCTCAATCTGAACATGTTACAACCTTTCTCACCATTCATATCATCCATAGAGACCCAGCAACAAATCAAGAAAACGGCCGAAATCCTCACAAACTGTTTGTGTAACAACCATACCATAATAAGCAAATCTAAGCCTAAACCAAAGACTGGCAGTTCCCACCGGTGACACATAAAACAGGCATTTCATTATTGCTATAATGAAACTCCAGGGAGCGTGGCTAACAAGACGTGAAAGTGCTCAGCTGCACCTCACGCCTTGTAATTCTCCAAAGGTGCGATTACCACTTCTCTCTTGGGCATTATTGTTGGCTTCCAATTATAATGCTCCTTTTGGGAATTAAACAAATACACCCTAACGTAAGTGTGTCAATACTGCAAGGAAATGTACACTTTTACTGCAGATGTAGAAAAATGCCACTTTAAAAAAAGTAATATAGAAAACGAATTCAAGAGCACATAAACACAAACCTTAAACACAGAGGAGAACAAGATACAGTGGGGGTTCCCCCCACCTTCAATCACTTGGAGACTTAAAGAGACACCTAGGCTTGTCTACACAGTAATCATTATGTTTCACTGCAAGTTACTGAACTCAGCAGAGAAAATTTGGCAGAGTTATCGTGACTGTATTACATATGGAATCAGCCTGGGTTAAAATGGTCCTTTCTGTCTGTTATACAGAATCTGTCTGTTAATTGCTTAAAAAAAAAAAAAAAAAAAAAAAGGCTTTTAAAAACTACATTTTTACCTAAAGAACACCAACAAAATTGTTATCATTTTGAAATTAATTGTATTTCACGGCATAAATACATACCTCTTTAGATCCAGCAAACAGTGGAATGTCATGAAATGGGGAAATATATTTACCATCTGCATTCTCTGAAAAACAAAACAAGAAACAAGCATTACAAATCTAAAGATATGTCTTAAGATGTTGGTATTACTAACTATTATGCATTACAGAAATGTATGATATGCCACAATTATGCATCAGTTAAACTTTTTCTGAAGTTTAATTCCAAGGACTAGAAAATAACCTACTCGTAGGACAAGGAATTTGATTGTTTGACAAGGATTCATTAGAATCAAAATTATTCAATACCACACTTCTCTTCTGACTACCTGGCAATACAAGCTACGTAAAGATGAGAAGATCCTTTCATTCTCTTTTCTTCTCCTCCCCGGCAATACACAACCATTAATGGAGAAAAAAATACCAAGGGAACCTCATTTCCATGAGTGATCAGTGAATTCATCTGGGTTTCTAGCAATGCTGCCCTTGTGACTTTACTGTATTTCTAATAAACTGAGTTTCATGACCACAAAAAGAAAATCCCCCAACATAGTAGGCCAAAGTGTGACCAAGAGAGTAAGTGAGGGATTGGATAATTGCTCAGGGCCTAGAAATAAAACACCACGCCTCGAAACCAGCAAAAATTTACATTAACTTAACAGGGGCCCAATCTGCACCTCAGCCTTGCTCCCACTGTAGAAAGGAACAAAATTCACTGGAGTGGGTGCTTAAGCTTTTCAAATTACTCGGAAACTTTTCAACATAGCCCAAGTACTGCATCAAAACAGAAACATCAACAACAATATAAAGTGCTAACACAAATCTCAAGGAGTTTCTCCTCTGCTAGCACCCCTATTCACAGTAAAGGAAAAAGCAGACAAGGGACTTCATTTAGCTTTGGACTGTACTTTGACCACCTCAGCAAAGAGCAGTACATGGCGGTTGTTTTTGCAACTCCTGGAAGCCTCCCAGATGCTCCTCCCAAATAAAACAAAGTTTAGTGGTAGGCTGCTTATTCCCACTAACTAAAGTGATTCTCTCTAGATGAGCTCCTGCACTGGCAGCCCCCTGAGGACTGAGCACAAGGGAGCCCTGGCACGGTACTGCTGACAGGGTACATGACGCCTCCGCTTCTCTCACACCAGCAGACGTCAGAATTAACTGCTTGTAAGTCAATGGACCAAAAATGTACAAAACTACTGCTAGAGAAGTGGCATACAAATAGACAACATTGTTACTAAAATGCATAATACTGAGACTGCCAGCTCTCACTGGGTTTTGAGAAGCCTCCTGGAGCGCTGCCCATGCCCTCCCGGTGCCACTTGCTGCTGCTGGCCCCACAGGCCCCTCGGGGCAGCAGCCCCATGTTTTGGATACCAGCCTCCCCTCACCGTGACGTTTCTGGAGGGAGGGCTGGCCTGGTCACCAGGGCCAGGCCATGCTCCCACTGGGCTGTCACACAGCAGCGAGGCGAGGTGAGGCAAGGCGAGGCTCCCACGGCCAAGGCTGTCCTCGGCGTCTCACAGCAC